AGGAAAAAAACCAAATTAATGACTAAAAATTTAACAGAAAAACAGAAAATAGAATTAGAAGAAACAATGGAAATACAAGTGACAAAGAAAGTGAAATATTTAGGAATTTGGTTAACACCACACTGTAAGACACTTAAAGAAAATAATTATGATAAATTGATACATCAGGTAAAGAAAGATTTAGAATCATGGGGTAAACTACAAATTTCACTACTAGGTCGGATCGCCACCATTAAAATGAACACTCTCCCCAAATTTTTGTACCTATTCCAAACGATCCCAATTAAATTACACAAAAAGTTTTTTGAAGAACTCAATAAAATAACCCTTAAATTTATTTGGCAAGGGAAAAAAACCCAGAATAAATGTAAAAGCAATGCAGGATATGAAGAGCAGGGGAGGGTTAGCATTTCCAAACTGCGAGTTATACTATATGGCCACCTCGTTAGTTTGGCTGAAGGATTGGGTGAACTTAACTAACAAAAGAATATTATTCCTAGAAGGCCACGATTTACAAAGGGGGTGGCATGCTTTTCTATGGGATGTAGGGAAAACCAGTCAAAAATATTTCCATAGACATTTAATTAGAGACGCACTACTAACAAATTGGAGGAAAATACAGAAAAAACATTATACAAAAGTACCAATATGGATTTCAACAATGGAGGCGATGATTCACCCAAATAATTTGGATATTACTAAAATGATTAAATATAAAGACTTATTGGACCCACAAGGAAATTTGAAACCGAGGCAGGAACTTCAGGAGCAAGGACAAAAAATTGATTAATGGGTTTACCTTCAGATTCAAAGTAGATACAAACAAGACAAGAAAGAATTTGGAATTAACAATAAACTTCAACAATTAGATAAAATTTTATTAGGATCAGACAAAAAAAACGTAACAAAATTTTATAATTATTTATTAGAAACAGAATTAGAAGAAGAAATCGTAAAAGGGAATATGATTGCTTGGAGTAGGAACGTAGGACATAGCATTACACTAGTGGAATGGGAAAAAGTTTGGGGCAGAAATAATAAGATCACAAAATCGGTAGCATACGGATTTCCGGTTTGTCGGCTTTGCGAGCGGTAGGGATTCGCGAAGCTGCGCGATCCCTGCCGCGCTAGCCGTTTTTGGGGCTCCGATCCGAAAGGGTGCGGAGCAAGGCTGCCCTGCAGGGGCAGCTGAAGGTAGGGGGGATCCGGGAAAGGGTTTGGGGGTGCTGCAGACCCCCTCCCTGGCCGGCAGAACCTCCTTTTACCAAGACGGTGCAGCGGCGGTCCGTAATGGCCGCCACAAAGAAGCCGGCAGCTGGGCAAGTATGCGCTGGAGGAAGAGGAGAAAGTTTTTAAAAGTGAAAGTCTTCTTGGTCGACCCAGGACTCTAAGATATATTTAACTTAATTCCTGAAAATGATGGATTTTTGGATGATTCTTTCCACAAGAGAAAACAAGCGGCAATTCTGAGGTGCTGAAAGGAAAGTTTACTCTCCCCCCCGACGGAATTTATAAATGGATATTGAAACCTGTGTTTTTTTTCAGGTAAAATTAGCTTTTTGGGATAAGTCGGAAGGGAGAGGACAAAAAATATATTTATCTGGTTGGATTTTGTTGGAGGAGATGCCTTAAGGATTTGAAAACAGAAATAAAATCTTAATAAGGCTTCAAAACACAGATTTGAATTTTCTTTTTTCCTTTGTCTGATACTACCCCTGGAAGAGAAAGGGGGAATTTTGGCTTGGCTTGGATTGATTGAGGATTGCGGACTTTGGGATTGTCTTATTTTTCTTCTGGAATATTTTGGTTGGTGTGAGAAGAAAGAGGGAAAAAAGAAAAGAAAAGATCTATAATGGCTTTTTCTTTTGAGGAACTGAGGGATGAATATGAGCAAACAAAAGCAGCCTGTAAAGATGGTATGGAAAAAGCCTTTCCTTTTTTAGAAATGGCGTTGGTTAACTATGAACAGACAATACAGATGGAAGCTGAAGAACAACAAGAAGAAGATGAAGACGCCATCTTCAATGAATCCCAAAATTCATCTAAGAAAGAAGGAAGGAAGGAAGCGAGGAAAATGAAGGATTTAAGATCTAAAAAAACATTTAAGAAAGAGAAAAATATGATGCAAAATAAATACAATGATAGCAAACAAGAGAAAAAGGGAATACAACAGAGAAGGGATGCCGGCAAGACAGAGGTTAGAAAAAGGGGGGGTAGGAAGATTTGGTGGGGGAAGAAAGAAAGGGGAAAGGCGGAGAAAAGCCACAAAGTTTTAAAATTAGATGGGAAAAGAGGAATCTTTTTTAGGGGTAATGGGTAAAGCATAAATTTTTTTAAAAAAGATTCTGCAAGGTACACAAGATGGTATTGTAACATTTGTATTAGAAATAGAAAATTAGAATGGCTTAAGAGTTAATAAGAAATTAAAATGTTAAAATGTTTAATAATGATTGATTTTTAAAATGTAATAAAATATTGAAGGGGAAGACAATGAGAATGCTATAAGATTTATTATTTAGATTTATTATTTAACTACGTATTTAGGAGGATATTATGTATTTAAACATTTTTGATTTTTTACTCTGTTTTTATTGTTATTAAAAGTAAAAATTAGTAGATAGAATGTACCAAGCAGAATTAAATTGGGTATTAGGTGTTATTTTAAATGTTAACCTAATTAATTTAGGGAGAGGATAGAAAGGCATCATACTCTGATTAGTGATTTCAGGAGAAATTCCTTTTTTTTTTTCATTATAAGGAATGAGATAGAGGGATAATAAAGGATGGGCAAAAGATACAAATATAATGATTTAAATTAAGATGGATTGAATAAGATAGAATTATGAAGAGTGAAATGTGTGGAGAAGTTTATATAGAAGATACAGAATGGTAAATAAAATAAGTAATGATCTGTAAGATGAGCATGAATATAATTAAAGCCCATATAAAGAGAGGTACCTGGGGCCAAGTTACTTTACTAAAAGATTTTTTATATGTATGTTTGTGTCTGTTTATGTCTTTGAGAGTATTGGTGAAACCTTGTAGAAACATAGAAAGAGAGTGACGATAATCAAGTCAGAAAGAAATAGATGAAATAATATAGAAATGTATTGTATAAGATAAGGTTTTATCTGACTTGTTAAATCTATAATGGAAAAAGGTTCAAATATGTAATGGTTGATGATGATTTGTTTGTTTTTTGAAATTAATAAAACTTGCTTAAAAAAAAAAAAAATCGGTAGCATACAAGGAAAATCTTTATAAAATGTTTTTTTATAGATGGCACCTCCCCCCTTCGAGGTTAGCGAAGATGCACCCTAACATGAGTCCGTATTGCTGGAAATGTAGGAAAAAAGAAGGAACCTTTTTTCATATGTGGTGGTCATGTACAGAAACCCAAAATTACTGGAAGAAAATCAAAACTTGGTTGGAAGAAATTACAAAAGAGCAGATCAAATATAAACCAGAGTCCTTCCTGTTAGGGATTTTTGATAAACAAATTTCCAAAAAAGCTAAATATATAACAATGCACATTCTAACAGCAGCCAGATTAGCCTTCGCTCAATATTGGAAACAACATCAAACTCCATCAGATGAAATGATTATCGAAAAAATTTCAAAATGTGCAGAAATGGATAAACTGACTTTGGCGCTAAAAAACAAAGATACTTCACTATATTATGATAGCTGGAATTGTTGGTATAATTGGATTGATCAAAGATAAATTATATATCATAAGGCATAAGAGAAAAGTATTAATCTATAATAATGATATAGTGATATATGTAAAGAACAGGTGTGTGTATATGACATAAATCAAAGGTTATGAAAAAAGATCTTGCAAACTGTAAAAATAAGAATGCTTTTAACTTTTCTTTTTTTCTAATTTTTTCTTTCTTTTCTTTTCTTTCTTTCTTATTTTCTTTTCTTTCGTTCATTTGTGTATGTATTGTTGGTTGGTTTTAATTGTAAAAACTAATAAATTATATTTTTTTTTAAAAAGAGAGAGAATCATGTAGTCACTAAGAGAATCTGGCTTCCCCCATTGACTTTGGTTGTTGGAAATGTGCTGGGAAGGTTGCAAATGGCAATCACATGATCCGAGGACACTGTTACTGTTGTAAATACATACCAGTTGCCAAGCATTCTAATTTTGATCACATGACTATAAGCCTGACTATAAGCCTGCTGTGACAATTATATGTGTGAGGACCAGGTGTAATCGCTTTTTTTTTGGTGCTGTTGTAATCGTTGCTAAGAACAAATGGTTCTTTTTTCTTATCATTTTCCTGTATTAACTTCTGTTGTGCTTTAACTGGAAAAATCTAAAAGGCTAGACATCTACTGATGTGGAAGTTTGGTTGAAAAATGCTCAGATTGAAAAGTTTTTCACAGGGTATATATCCCTATTCAAAATATTATTTGAATCTTCTCAAATTAAGATTAAAAGCTCAAATCTTACAAATCCCCTATGAGAATTAATGTTTCAAAATATATAATTAGATAGAGAGATTTAGATATGAGTAATCATGAATAGTTGAAGTTATAAAGCTTCCATCTTTTTATCAAATGTAAGTGTTCTTTGATTCCATCTTTTTATCAAATGTAAGTGTCCTTTGATATTAATTTCATTTATAAGAATTTATTTCATACAATTATTCATTCTTGAAAAATATAATAGACATCAAGGATAAACATATTGTATACTATTACTATCACAGTAAAGATACATATCAAATGTATCTTTACTATGGAAAAAGTGAGAAGAGAAGCTTAGATGATTAAGAGCCTAGAGACAAAAACATATGAATCTTTGCAAGAATTGGGTAGAACAAGTCTAGAGAAAAGAAAGGCTAATGGTGACATGACAGCAGTATCCTGTATTTGAGGGGCTGCCACAAAGAAGAGGGGGTTAACTTATTTTCCAAAGCAGCAGGGGCAGGAAAGAGAAACAATGGATGGAAACTAATCAAGGAGAGAAGCAACCTAGAACTAAGGAGAAACTTCCTAACAGTGAGGACAATTAACCAGTGGAACTGCTTGCCTTCAGAGGTTGTAGATGCTTTGTCACCGGAGGTTTTAAGAAAAGACTGGATAGCCACCTACCTGAAATGATATAGGGTCTCCTGTTTGAGCAGGGAGGTTGACTAGAAGACCTCCAAGATCCCTTCCAGCTCTATCTTGATTGATTGAAAGGATCACTTATCTTACTGCTCAGCTTTACTTTTTACAACACAGATCATGCCTTTTCAAACATAAAAACCCTTTAAATTTGATACTTATTTAATTTGTTTATGCCATAAATAAACTGCATAAATAGTAAAATATTATTGTAAACACTGACTTCATATTCACATTGTAGAACAGTTTATTTACAGTTTAACACATTTACAAGCATGTGCAAAAACCTCTATGAAGATAGCCCATGGGACAGACTTTGCAACAATCAATATCTCCCAGCTTCACTTAAAGCAGATAAAAGACCATACTATCAAATGTGCAGCATTAGTTAAATTTGGAACTTCTTACACCATATTAATTTGATTATGGATGATTTTTAGCTAAATCCCTGATTTTTAAATCAAGTTCTTCTTTTGTTTTTGGCTTTAGACTGTCTCATTTGGTCTTTCCAAATTTATTCTGAAACTGTAGGATCATTATGTTTTCATTTGATTCATGTGTGCTATCTTACTACTATTCAGATAATACAGCAACATTTTTGTCATCACTAATAGCTTCCAATTAACAATATCAACAATTCAAAATTATTATTAAAGGAACTTACCAAATGCTGACTCTTTAAGGGGACTTGAACTAGAACTGCTAGAATGATCTGCAATATCCAATTCATCACCAAATTCCGAGAAAATATCTTTGTAAAAATAAAAGCAGAAATTAGCCCTTCTCTGCAATTATGATCGGGATTACTAAACATTTCTTGTTTAATCTTACCTTTTTCTGTGTTTTCTAAAATGCAGTTATCATCTGACAGGGTTTCATCTTTCTCTTCATCTTTTCCAGAAAATTTATGGAGGTTTTCAGATAGAATATCAATATTTTCAGAAAATTCACTTTTTAAACTAGCTGCTCCACTACTACTGCTACTGAGACTTGATTTTTCATAACGTTCCTGTAAAATAATAAAACAGTTCTTTAAGAATATAAATAATTTGCTCTTACAACACTAATCTGTGAAGTTCACGCTAAGTGGTATCCATTAAATTTCACAAATGTTCCTTAGCTATTTCAATTGTGGCAATCAAGCTTCTTTCTACCAGCTGGGCAAGACAGTGTAATGAATAAATTTCTAAAGAAACACATTCTTATAAGAATTACTATATAAAAATTATGAAACCATTATGAAAGAAATGTGTCAGTTTATGTCAAATTCAAGGCCAGTTTATAGAAAATCAAAGTTCAAATTTTGCCTTTCTTTCTCCTACTTGTTTGTGGCAATGACCTTCATGCCATTCTCTTTGGTGTCTACAGTTTCTGTTTCTCATTTTAAAACACATTTCAAGTAGTGCTGGAAGTTCTATATGATTTAGATCATATGTTCAGATGATAGTTATTTATGATGGTTGTGATGCTACCTGATTTGAAATAATTAGTGATACACTCTCTCCTGCAGAAGCTAACATTTATTTGACAATATTAATCTATTCTCCAATCTTTTATATTTTTAAAAAAACTTGAGAAAGTAAAACAGATTAAATTCCAGACAATCCTAAAGGAAGCAGATTTTCTAGGTCCATTTCAGTTGGAGTTGAAACCTATTATGGCTTGGCTGCTCCATTGTGGGATATTACAGTGCTTGTTCCATATTAGTAACCATAAAAAATCATAGGAATAGGTCATTCAATGTTTTGGGGTGAATTATCATTAGTATGTTGATGACAATCAGCTGTATATCATCACCCCACACAGGGCTAAAGATGCTATGGAGGTCTTGAACTAGTGCCTTGTTAGGAGCTCAGTGGGGTGAAACAATCCCAGACTAAACCTTATCAAAACAGAGTTGCTCATTAAATACCATGGATTTCTAGACCAGTAAATCAGCTTCAGTAATTGTTCCTGATATGGTTGTGCTTTTCCTGAAAAAGCTAGTGTGTGATTAGTTCATCCTGGACTTTTGCTAGATCAGCAGATGTAAGCTGTTGCCAAACAAGCCTTGGCCCAACTCTATTGGAGCATCAATTATGGCCATACCTTGACCATGAAGTCTTTGTGACTCATGTAATAAAATGTGTGTATTACCATTGGGGATAAGGGGAAGAGATACTTCTTAGGATATTGGAAAAAGAGTGCTTCCCCCTCCCCCATGGTTTAATTGATCAAGCAATTAAAAGTGGCAGTAGAAAGTTTATACATTCAGATGTGCAAGATTATGTTAATGTAGCCTTACAATAAAATAGAATTATTTCAACTTAGTCATGTTTCCTGTCTAGTTAAGACAGGAAGGGCTTCAAAGGGCTGACACTTGGCCATTTCCTATTTAAAACCCCTCTGCAATGTGCTTTATCTGGAAGATGTGCTTTATCTGACTTGAAGATGATTCACTAGCTGCAATATCCAGCAGCCAGATTATTAATCAGGGCAGATATTTTTGAAGAATAACATTTATTTTGAATCAATTCACAGGCTTCCAAGCTCAATTCACATGCTGTTCATTGCTTATAAAACAAATGTGGTGTGGCACTTGGATGCCTGACTATCTTACCAAGAATTATTCTGTAGTTTTTACCTCCTGGAAATCATACCATGATGATCTATCTATCCTAACCTGTACTTTCAAGTTTTCCTATTGTACACCCATTGTACTTTAACTAAATTCATCTCCCTTTGCTATTAGGTTAGTGTCCCTTCTTCTCTATCCTTATACCTTTCCCAGAATTAGAATCAGGTATTTCTAAGTATTGATCCACATAATGTGGAGCATGCTGCTCCAAAGATGTACGTGGCCTAGTGGCCAAATCTCTTTTTTTCTCGAAAGTCTTTAAAGCACTTGTTTCCTTGCAAAAGAGTGACTGCTCATTTTACAGCTCTGCAAGTCAATGGTTTAATTGTAAATCACAAAACACAGTTAGTGAAGAAAGCCTTATATCTCCCAGAAGTCCCTCCCACATTCAGAAAGTAATCCTAGCATCAAATTCTGTACCTGTCAACAGTGGTGTCCCCCAAGGCAGTGTTCTAGGACCAACTCTTTTCGTACTCTACATAAATGACCTCTGTGGTCATATAAAAAGCAACTGCGTTCTCTTCGCTGATTATGTAAAGCTATTCAACCCCACAGACAATACTGCTACCCTTCAAAAAGACCTTGACTATGTATCAAACAAATTGTAACTTCAAATCTCAACAAATAAATGCTCTGTCCTACATATTGGCAAAAAAAAATAAAAAATCAGAAAATAAAATACAGGCTGAATAGTCAAGACCTTGTTGATGATCCAAACTCTGTCAAGGATCTTGGAGTACTCATCTCAAATGACTAAGTGCTAGAGCCCACTGTAACTACATAGACAAAAAGGCGTTAAGAGTTGTTAACCTAATCTTACGTAGCTTTTTCTCTGTATCTCTAATACACTAAGAACTAGAGCATACAAAACATTTGCTAGACCAATACTCGAATACAGCTCATCAATCTGGAACCCACATTACGTATCTGATATTAACACAGTTGAGAAAGTCCAGAAATATTTCACAAGAGGAGTTCTCCACTCCTCTACTCGTTGCAGAATACCTTATGCCACCAGACTCGAAAATTCTAGACCTAGAAAACCTAGAACTATGCCGCCTTCGGTCGAATCTAAGTATAGTATATAAAATCATACATTGCAATGTCCTACCTGTCAATGAATACTTCAGCTTCAACCATAACAATACAAGAGCAAACAATAGATACAAACTCAAGGTTAATCACATCAAATTTGATTGCAGGAAATATGACTTCAGCAACAGAGTGGAATACTCTACCTGACACTGTGGTTTTTTTCCCCAAACCCCAAAAACTTTAACCTTAGACTGTCTGCTATTGACCTCACCCCTTTCCTAAGAGGTCTGTAGGGGGCGTGCATAAGCGCACCAATGTGCCTACCATCCCTGTCCTATTATTTCTTTTATATTTTCTTTTATTTTTCTCAAATGTATCCATGTATTCATAACTATGTTTTTACTTATACCTATTATCTTGTAAGCAATTGACAAATAAAAAAAATATTTATAAAATGCTCTTCCAAGACTGACAATTATTTGAAATGGCTGATTTGTTATGATAGCCAGGTATAATGTTGGAGCAAGATATTAATGATCTGGTCAACAGTTATCAGTATGGCAAGGGTGTTGCTCACTATGATCTGGATTTAGAATCTCAAATTCCTAGACAGTGGTAATAAAGGAGTAATTGGAATTATTGCTAAGATTATCTCAGATATGAAAGAAACTGGCACAAATAACTATCATAGTCCAAGCTCTGAGGAGAGTTATTGTAGAAAAGCTCTGCAATAATTACAAAATAATTCCAATATGCTGATTATCACATAGAAGCTTTATTTAATGTTGAAATTAAGGTTGAAATTCTAACATTTGTTTTCCCCCAGCTATGTAGTACAATAGATACTCTTTTGTTTTTTTTAAATATTTTTTATTGAAAATAATTAAAAATAATTGAACATGGTGGATTTCTTTGACATACATTTCAGTCTTAACATTTTACACTAGAAAGGATAAAAAATATAAACATTTATATACATATATACATTTAGGCTTTGTACCATTTTAAATCTTATTCTTATACCTCATTTCTATTTCATCTTAAATTCTAATTTCAATTTTATGAGCTTCCTTTCATGTCCCTCCATATGTAAATTTTGTTCCAAACTTTATAGTATTCTGATTTATCTTGTTCTTTCAATTCTAGTGTCAAACTATTTAATTCAGTGCAATGAAAAACCTTATCTATCATAGCATCGTCACTTGGAAATTTTTTTGTTTTCCAAGTTTGGGCAAATAGTATTCTTGCTGCAGTGATTATGTGTATAATTAAGTAGGTATCTGCTTTCTTAAGGTTCTCTTTTATTATTCCTAATAAGAACATCTCTGGTGTATAGCTAATTTTTAGTCCCAACATTTCTTCTATCCATGACCAAATTTTATACCAGAACACCTGTGCCCACCCACATAGTACCCCGTTCTTTCAAGCATTTCCAGCAAATGGATGATTGATTACCATACATTTTTGTTAATCTAGCTGGGGGAAATACCACCTATAAAACATCTTGTACAGATTTTCCTTAAAGAATGTTGCTAATGTAATCTTTTTGTTTCAGTCCCAAATTTGCTGCCATTGGTCTAGGTTTATACTATGTCCAAGGTTTCTAGCCCAGGTTAGCATCAATTCTTTAACTTGTTCTTCATACATTTTATGGTCAAGTAGACGTTTATAAAGTTTCTTTATTTGTTTTGTCTCTGGTCCTGTTAAGATTTTATCTAATGCTGTATCTTGACAGTTAATTCCCATTCTTTTTGTCTTTTTTGTAAATAGATACTCTTTTCTGAGGTAAAAGACAATTTCCACTTCTCTTGTTTTATTGGAGTATACCTTGGAAAGCATTATGTGACCAAACTGATATATCTGAATTTATAAATTAATAGCCAATGAACTTGAGGCATAAAATTACTTTCATTACTGGGTTATTTTTGTCTCTCTAGTGACTTTTAAGTCATGTTTTCATGATGCAATGATTTGCTTTTAATTTTCTAGTTATGTGTCTTCATATTGTTGAATTTTCAAAATTTTAGTCTTACAATATTAGATCCAATATTTAATATTTCAGGAATGCAAATTGGGGGCATTAAAATGTACATGCTTCCATCTTAGTCCTCTTCAAATGTAAAGACAACATAGCATTTGATGTTACAAATACTGTTTTGATTTTCTAGCTTCAGCAACCAATTATTCACATTACTGTATGTATACAGCTGTTTGCTGGGTAATGTGGTGCAAACTTTATAAATGACAAGTATGAGATCAGGCTAATGCTGTATTATATATACTCATTGGCAATTTGGAACAAATAACAGAGAATGTAATGTAGCCTTGGTAACAAAATAACTATATACGTTTACCTTACCTGAGATAACACAGCAAGTTGATGGTGACATTTTATTGCATTCCTATTGGCCTCCATGAAATATCTCTGAGTACGCTTTCTTTCACGTTCCAATTTCTTCTCCAAGACAAGCTGGGAATTTGATAATCCATCTAAATACTTCATCATAACATCTGAAATCATTGAACTGACCTCTACTATATCAGGACGGATCTCTGCATCAGGGGTCAAACACCTGTGGGAAAAAATCTCTTTGTTATTTAGGGTAACTACGAATATTATATGAAACTAGCTCTCGTAAAATCAATGACTGGTACATCTTTTTTACATGAAGAGAGAAATAGACCTTACCAAATATTGCCCTGTTCATAATGTTTTACACAACAAAAGTTTTTTTAAAATCTCAATAGAAATAAACCAAGTTTATGTGACTATCACAGGCATGCTTATATGTTTAATATTAGGTCTCTATTGTTTGGTTGAAATCAAGCTTAAATGAGTGCTAGAAAACTATTTACCAATGTATACTTAGTATATTTTCCTGGAAGTGCAGTCAAATTATGACCATTCATTCAGTGACTGTTCAAAATTGTAGTGGAGTTGAACAAATGTACAATTAGTGGTCAAAGTTCCAACTACTGCAGCATCCCTATGGTCACTGTCTATGGAGATTCTCAGTCATCCAGGATATGATTATCCCAAAGGTGCTTTTTCAAGAGGCAACTGGATTTTCTCTTTTTTTTTTCTTTGAAGATGTTTCACTTCTCATCCAAGAAGCTTCCTCAGCTCTGACTGGATGGTGGGGAATGGAAGCAGATAACTGGTAATTTGCATTCTTTTAACGGGTCCTAAGGTCAACAGGTTTATTTGTGTCATCAGGGTCATCTGTGTGTAACCTTCTTGGAACTGTTGAAAGGACTGTGTTGTAGACTGGAGATAGATGTCGTATCCTCCCCTTTTGTTGAGAGTTGTTCAATTTTGACATAGATGGCCTCTTTAATCCCTCTTTCAAACCTGTGATCCTCTCTATCCAAAATGTGGGTTTTGCTGTCTTCAAAAGAGTAGCCTGTGTCTCTTAAATGCAGATGAACTGTGAATCTAGTCCTGATGTGTTTGTTCTCCGATGTTGTGCCATGCATTTATGAAGTGGTTGTTTCATTTCCTGAACGTACAGATCTGAACATGGCTCACTGCATTGTACTGCATATATCACAATGTTCAGTTTCTGTCTAGGTTTTTTATCCTTGGGGTGGACAAGCTTCTGCCTTAGTGTATTCTTGGGTTTGAAGTGTGCACGTATGTTATGTTGGCTGAAGTTCCTCCTAAGCTTTTCCGATATGCCTGCAATGTATGAAATGACAATGTTGCTTTGTTTATTGTTCAATCTTTTCTGACAGGCGAATCCAAATCTATATGCCACTGAGCCACCATAAGCAGGTAATCAGCCTGTACTGTCTGATGCTGTCACTTTTACTGGTTCTTTCATTATCACATAAGCTAATTATTTATTGAACTATTCTGAAAAAGTTAGTCAGAGGATCTCAAAAAAATAATAGAATTAGAACAAATTCTCCTTACCAATGTTGATTAGAAATTAGAAAATAAAGCATACTACTATGTTTTACTTTAAATTTGATTTGAGAAGTAGAGATATTCTTCTAATTGGGAACTTGTGACTTCTGGATTGGCCTTGGTAACATGCCTCTATTGCTTATATGATGCATATTGCTTAATTTTATTTGATGTAATTAGTTATATTTTGTTGATGTGATACAAGGTCTAGTCTATTATTTTTATTGTAAAGCAATTACTGATTATTACTGATTCCTTACAGTTATAATAGCTGGGTTTCAATTTAACTACTTTGTGTTATTGCATATTCAAATTCAATTGATAGTCCTTTACAGATAGTTTCTAAGTTGTGACTAGTCAGTTAACAGCCAAAGTTATGAAAGACTCCCCCACACACAAAAAGCTATAGATACATGGCCCTGTTCAAACTTACAGCAGTTGCAGTGCCCCCACAGTCATTCACCTTTATAACCAACCACAGGGATCCTTCAATGACCCTTCGCCTCTGCCCCCATCCCACCCTGATGGGACCCCACAGTTTTTAAATGTAACATGAATAAATATTTTGGTTTGTCACACAGTCAGATGTTACACTGGATTTGGCATTTTTATCTACTTATCGAGTCCTTTCCAAGGAACTGGTAGATGTGGATGTTTAATGTTGCTACAGATATCATCACGGGATGTAAGGTAGTCTATGTAAAGCCTTTTGCAGTTGGCTGATAAATAAATGTTATCATTATAAATAAATATTAAATAAATAATTAAATAAACTATTTTATTATTTAATAAAATAAATAGTCAAATACTGAATGCTGTTCAAATCAAATAAGTTCATTAATAATACGTACTTTTTTATGACAGCTGATATCTTTGTAGTATATATACCTCCAGGTACTGGCTCATAAACAGCTTCTACTATCTGCAAAATAAATAGTTGCTGTCATTTTTAAAGTGATTTTTATATTGTAATTTTCCATTTGGTTTCCATGACAAACTTCACATAATTAGTTTCCTTTTATAACCTATAAAACAGATATGAGTACAGTTTTTACATCTGATTAAATGTAAATAAATTGCTTTGTGAATGTAATACCCATATAAATAACTTGTTCAAAAACAATAAAAAATATCAATAATCATATCATATTTCATCATCATCATCATCATCATCATCATTTTAGCCATTGTCTTTTCACTGCGGGATGAAGGCCTCTTCCGCATGTTTGTAACCAATACCGTCCTGAGCTTTCTTTCGCCAACTGGACCAGCAATTTCATTTAAACAAATGCAGTTATTTAATTTATATCCATATAGTTATATTGCTAACTATAATTAAAATATAAATGTAAAGTAGAAGGTGTTCTAAAAGGTTTTTTGTTTAGAATTCTTCTGAGGACACAGATATAACTTCCAAATGGCCTCAATGACTCTCTAAAAGAATGCAAATGACAGCTGTTTGCAAGGAATATAAATCCTTACATTCCCTACCATCCAGTCAGAGATGAAGAAGCTTCTTGGATGAAAAGGGAACTATCTTCAAAGAAAAAAAAAAGAAAGTCCGTTTGTCTCTCGGAAAAAAGCAGTTTTGGGACAATCATGACCTGGAGGATTGAGAATCTCCATAGATATTTAGCTATGTACTTTGGGATGAACACCCTTTGAATGGTACGGGAGTATGAACAGATTTTGAAAAATTGCAAACTACAGGAACCATTCAGTTTGAGATGCAGACAACACAGACTCATCCCCAACAGCCTCCATTCATGTTCAACAATGAAAGGACACAGGGCAGAAAAGGAGCGTTGGTAGACTTACCTGAGAATGCATCTTCTCAGATGATGTAGACAGGATCCATGCATGGGATGTATTCAGCTCTGTTCGGCTATAGACTGAATAGAAAAACTGAAGACACAGCCCTTCCGGGCCACCGTCTCCAGTTCTGAATGAAGTCAAGGCTTTCTTGTATATACTGCAATAGTCCCATCTTTGTATAACATTCATGATTAATAATAACTTAAATTTTAGTCCAATACCCAACAAGATTGCCAGAACCTAAGAAAATGGGTGGGTCTGGGTCCTGTCTACACCATCTGAGAAGGTGCGTTCTCAGGTAAGTCTATCAACACTCCTTCTCCAGAATGGTTTCAACAGGATCCATGCATGGGACATACCAAAGCAATATCCGATGGGAGGGATTCTAACCCTAATGACTCTGATCTTCTGGCAATACCTTTTGAAGTACTCTCCTTCCAAACACTGCTTCTGCAGAAGCGAAAGAGTCAAGTTTATAATGTCTAGTGAAGGAGTGGACCAAGTTGTCGCCTTACATATTTCTTCCACTGAAGCCTGAGTACTCCAAGCTGCTGTAGTGGCTGCACTACATATTGAGTGAGCTGTGATGCAAGATGGGACAGGTAACTCCTGTGCTTTGTAAATGTTAGCAATGGTTGCTCTAATCCAGCTGCCTATGGAAGAAGACAACACCCTTTGTCCTAAGGATTTCTGATGATAAGAAATAAACATTGCTTCCATCTTTCTAAAGGAAGCTGTCCTTTTTATGTAAATATGGAGAGCTCTCCTAACATGTAAGGTATGCCAAAGTTTCTCTCTAGGGTGAGATGGATTTGGACAAAAAGTTTGTAAAACGAGTTCTTGTGCCCTATGAAAATGGGAATTGACTTTTGGTATAAAAGTAGAATCCAATTGTAAAACAACTCAATTGGTGTAAAAATACAGATATCAAGTCTTATTGACAGAGCTGCAAGCTCAGATATCCTTCTGGCAGATGTAATTGCCACTAGAAAAATTACTTTATACGATAAGTGCTGTAGGCTGAGTTCTTAAAGTCTCAAAAGGTGAAAGCTTGCAGTACCTTGGTAAAGTCCCATGATAGAAATCCATGAATGACCCCTGGTCTTAAATTTGCTGCCCATTTAAGAAAACGCTGAATTAAAGGCTTTTGTGACAATAAATCTGAACTTGTACATGAAGGTACCAATGAGAGTGCTGCAACCTGTCTACGGAGAGTAGCTGGGGCAAGACCCTTGTCCAATCCTTGTTGTAAAAAATCTAAAACCAGGGAGATTGGAGCCTCTCCAGGATCTGAACCCTTATCCTTGAACCAATTACAGAAAACTCTCCAAAAACTCTCCAAGTCTCAAAATCCTAGCTGTCTCTGCACCATATTAAATAATATTTTGTAGGAAGGGAAAACCTCCGCTTCCACTTTTGGGTCCATGAAAAGAGCTTCATTTCCCGCTGTTTGTGAGTAATACAAGGTGTATCTTTGTTCAATTCTAGGTCAGTTGCGCTCTTGGCCTTGGCTAATAATGCTTTAAATAAATGTGGTTTAAACAGGCCTTTGGTATCAGATATCTCTGTTTCTGTCTCCTCTACAGAAAGAGATTCTATTTCCCTTTCCTCTACTGAATACTCAGATTGTTTATCCTCTGAAGTATCAGGAGACTATGTTTTGGTCATAAGTGTTTGTCTAAGGGAGTGGGAATGCCTCCTACGGTGGGAGGGACCTACTCTAGAGTCCGCCTGATTTGGACTGTTAGTCTGAAGTTCTCCTATCATTCCCTGACCAATAAGTTACATTAAAATACTGCTGAACCACCACAGGCATTAACTGCCCTCCTGTTTCAGTGTGTTGCATTTGCCCTTATCTAGTTAAAGGAGGAGCCATTGGTCTTGGATTACTCAAGTAAGAACACCCTGGAAGTTCAGAATCCTGCGTGTTAGAAAACTACTTGGCCCAAATTTTCCATGTGTGATCCCACTTGGGATAGAATAGATTGACTTGTGTGATGCCCCTTAGGAGTACTTAATTGCAGGGATTTCATTTGTTCTTTTGAATTATCCTCTACTTACTTAACCAACGCATTATGTAGTCTATGCTCGGCCTGACCATCAGCTTTGGTTTTCCTAGTAGCTCTGGTCTTGGCCCTGATTTTGTCAGCTGCCTCCTGAACTGATCCTCTGGTCTTACAGGTTCTTTTACCCCTACCTTTTTGTTGATTGGAAGCAATCAGATGTGAAGACATTGTGTTGGAAGATTCCTCTATAATGTCTATAACTGACTGTAACATTACTCTGACTATATCAAATAAAAATAGAAACAAGAATTGTAATGTGTCTTATTAAATTCTTTAAGAAAATCTTTTTTCTAAGACTTTGACCCTCAGGACAGAGTTTCACCAATTTCAAGATAATTAAATAGCTCAATAACCAGAATCTTTTAAGGTTAACTGTCTATAAGCAGTATAGCTCTAGTTGTGAGGCACACAGCACACAAGGGTAGAAAAACTGAGGAAAAATACCTCTTGTTTTTTTTTCTGAGGCTTTGCCCCTCAGGACAGAATTCCGCCAATTTGAAGACAATTAAATAGTCCAATAACCAGAATCTTTCAAGGTTAACTGTCTATGAGAGGTATAGATCGTGTCATGAGGCACACTAGAGCTGGCTAGAAAATGGCTGCTTCTACAAAATGGTGCTCCCACCAATTTAAACCGTCACCGAGTTGATTTTACCTATGCTGGAACCTCTTTGTGGCTAACACAGCAACTCTGCTTAGACTGCACTCCCTTATTTGGGCAGGCTGTCTGACAGGCTTTTTGTTCCGGGAGCCTTCCAATTTCGGTCTGAGTGGTCTCTCTGTCAGCTGTTTGTAGCGAACAAACCACTCAGCGTTAAAGTCAAATAAAGGTGCCTTCTGTGCTCGGACTGCTTAGCGCTCCCTTATACGGGCAGGCTGCTCAGCTGGCAAAAGGTGCCTCTTCAATGCCCTCAAAACCCTATTCCTGGTTTTTGGGAGCGATCTCTGCAAACTCCAGACTGTTGAAATCTATTTGCTTGAAAAAGCCGATGGAATAGAGGCTTGTGATTGCAATAAGCATTGAGGCTTTTGAAAAGCCTAAGGTGCTATTAGTTCCTTAAGGACTGTTGTAAGGGGTGTGTCTTCAGTTTTTCTATTCAGTCTATAGCCGAACAGAGCTGAATATGTCCCATGCATGGATCCTGTCGAAACCATTCTGGAGAACATCCTGCAGAAAACAACTCCACAACACAGTCCTTTCAGCAGTTCTAAGAAGGTTCCACACCCATTTGAACTACTCAGGTGACCCTGAGGACACAGACAAACCTCCAAGTGGCTTTAATATCTCTCTTAAAAAATGCAAATGACCAGCTGACTGAAAGAAATATAAATCCTTCCATTCTCCAGCATCCAATAAGAGCTGAAGAAGCTTCTTGGATGAGAAGTTAAATGTCTTCGAAGAAAAACAAATAACTCCAGTTGCCTCTTGAAAAACTACATTTGGAACATAGGGGACTGAACGCAAATAGGTTAATTATGCCCTGCAGAACCTTAACTTATTTATTTCCAAAGCATGTTAATGTCACATTTTGCTGTTGAAATGTGAAATCTGGAAAGCTCCAAGAGTCAAGATCTACGAAAATGTGTCTGGGCATTGCCTGAAGCTTATAAGTTGCCAGTCCTATTTTAATTGATATTGAGTAATATCTGCGTAACAGAAAGTGATAAAAATAATATCATGTGAACCACAATGCGTACCTAAAAGTAAGGAAGTATCCATAAAAGAGAATATTTATAGCTCAGGATGAACTGTGGGGCCCTTGGTGCTCCCTGAGCTTGGCAGTTTTCTTGCAGAAGTTTCATTACCAAATTAGGCTGATGATGTTGCTTAGTTTAGTAATAAGATGTCTCCAAGACAACACCAAGCCAGTAGTGGGATTCAATTTTTTTTACTGCCAGTTCTGTGGGCATGGCTTATTTGGTGAGCGAGGCTTGGTGGTCATGTGACTGGGTGGATGTGGCTTAGTAGTCATGTGACTAGGTGGGCATGCTGTGTGGGCGTGTGATTGGGTGGGAGTGGCCAACTTGACCTCACTCATGT